GAAAGAGGGATAGTGGCTTGAGCTTGGCGTGGGAGGGAACGGGCTTCTTGCGGTTGGCTACTGATGAGATCCAGTAGGCCAGCCCCACTGCGCCCTGGGAAGGGAAATGCAGTGGGGATGGGGGAGAGAAGTGGCGAGAAGGGAGATGGGTTGAAGGGAGAAAAGAGGGTTAGAGCTTGAGCTTTGCATGGGAGAGAACGGGCTTCTTGCGGTTGGCCACTGAGGAGACCCAGTAGGCCAGACCCACTGTGCCCTGAGAACGGAAAGGCAGAGGGGATGGGGGAGAGAAGTGGCAAGAAGCGAGACGGGTGGACGGGAGGAAAGAGAATTAGGGATTGAGCTAGGCGTTGGAGAGAACAGTCTCCTTGCGGTTGGTTACTGATGAGACCTAGTAGGCCAGACCTATTGCGTCCTGTGGTGTGGCCGAGGGGAGGGAAGATGGGGTGAAGGGAGGAAGAGCAATGAGAGCTTGGCGTGAGATAGGACGGTTCAAAACGAATACTTCAAACGTACATATATAAATCAAAACAAATCTGCTTTTGAGATGGAGTGGGAACCATACCATGAGCGGCAGCAGGATGCGGTAATCCTTAGTCAATTCGAAGAGCAGCAGCACGGATGTAAGGGGCACGGAGCACACAGAGGCGAGCATAGCCGCCATGCCCACCTGATGAGGGAAAGGATGCGGGAGAGAAAATACAGGAGCAAGAGATAAAAAGGGTGAATGGGTGCTAGATAAACAACAGCACGGATGTGAGAGGCACGGAGAACACAGAGGCAAGCATAGAAGCCATAGCTGCCAAATCTACTAAAGGATCACAACTCACCAGAGCATATGCCTGTGGTGCCGCGACCTCAGCCTTCCCAGGAATGGCAGCCTGGATAGCCGCACCTGCCAGCGACCCATACACCGAGCCTACCGCCGAACCTATGAACAGGCTCGGGGCGTAGATCCCCCCAACCAAGCCCGAGCCTCTGCAGAGAGCCGTGGCAACGATCTTGGCTGCTATCAGCTGAGTCATGAGCTTCGGACCAGGGGCTGATGCACTTTCCCTCGAGTGCAATATCTCATTCACGTTACTGAAACCCCAGTACAAGACACCAGGGTACTGTAGCGCTATAAACCCCACACACAGCCCGCCCAATGCCGGTGTGACAGCTGGCGGGATGCCGAGGCGGTCCCGGAGAAAGTCGAAAAAGGCTGTGGACCACTTGATTAATCGGGTAAATATCACCGAAATAACCCCGCAAACCATCCCGAGCAGCAGGTACAGTGGCAACTCAGCAGCAGATTTCAGCTCGTATTCGGGTACAGTAAATGCAGGCTCTTCACCCAGAACTACGTTAGAGACTGTAGAGGAGAGCACTGAAGCGAGGATGATCATGGCCGTGGTAAGCGGGGGCGCGTTCTCCGAAGCAACAGACTGTAGAACCGTTTCAATGGCAAAGAAACACCCAGCTACAGCCGCGTTGAAACCAGACGAGATACCCGCAGCAGCACCAGCAGCCACCAGTGCAGTTTTCCTCTCATGCGTGTTCATTAGGATCTCAGCCATTCCATCTGCCCAGGCCTTGCCTATGTCCACACTCGGCCCTTCTGGTCCCAGGGAGGAGCCTGTGCCTAGGGTTACTGCTGCTTGGATGGCTCGAATTACGGGTGTAAAAGCCGCTCCCCAGTCTATTCCCCTCTGCTGCTCCAGACGTAGGGTTGCCCCGCGGGTCTGCCCCTGGGCTTGGGATGGGCTTTGGCTTTGTTCTATGATGCCACCGAGGGCGTGTAGCATGCCTACAACGACCCCGCCCATAACGGGGATGAGCATGATGCGGTGCCAAGTGGTGGTGATGGGCTGCACGCGCAGCCACGCTGCTCCCTCTGCTGGTGTGCCGGCCCATGCTAGATTGTGAATTCCGTGAACCTGGACAAGTTTAGCAAGGAGATGGGTTGAGAGGAAGTAAAGTGTGACTTTTGAGTTGACCAAAGCCAATTTGTTTCACCTGCTGGTGTTCCAACCCGCGCCAGGTTGTCCATTCTGTGAAGCTGGATAGGTGATGAGGGAGGAGAGGGGTTGAAAGGCGAATAACAACCAGACAGAGGGAAGGAGGACGGAATTTGACTGCATAAAAGCAGGTGTCTACACCAGAACCTAGGTGTAGGCGCGCTGTGGGATAGTCTACCGAAATGAAACGATTCCTGCGTTGAGTCAAAAGGGAAACCTACCGAGGTGATTTCTGAGGCGACTCAAAAGAAAAGCCTACCGCTAAGTTGAAAAGGACGACGCTGGCTCCTGTGGCGAGGCCGAGAGCACAGCCAAGCAGCAGCACGGCCCATTCAGGCGGAACCCGCTCGCTGAAATTCATGCTACGCGGAGAAAGCAGCGCGGTGGGTGACGCGGGAGACACCATCACCGCAGATTCGATCTTATTTGCAGCCAGTTCCACGTCACCGCCAGCCAATGGGGAGTCGCCGTTGTTCCCCCCCGCGCCGTTGCGCAAAAGCGGTCGGTAGTCATTGGCGCTCATCCTGCGGGTTACCGCCGTCGCCAGGGCCGCGCGTCAGCCGCGAGATCGCTGGCGCGTTCAAGATCGACGGCTGTGATAATCTCGATCTTCCGACGGAAAAAAGTACAGAGCAGTTGAACACGAGGACACCAGGACAAAGCTAGTCAGCGGTTTCACTGAGCTGCATCTCAAGCTAACGCGAAAGGAGTATTCTGAACGAAATTTAAGGTCACCTTAGATTGGTTTGCTAGAGTATGTTATCGCAACGTTACGCCTGGGCTGTACTCCGTAATGCTAAGGAAGATGTAGCAATAGTTACACGCCGTGGATTCTTAGGGTTACAACAAGACGTGGATTCTAAGGATTACGACATGACGAGAATCCACAGCACGGAAGCCAGTAAGGTGTGAGATAGCGAGAGCGAGGCTACGGAAAACGACCGACGACCCCGTATTTCAATACACACACCACTCGCCGTAGCCAATACTGGCATCGGAGGGAGAAACGAAGGAAAAATACTCCAAGGACTGACCCTGAAGTAGTAAATCCCGAGGAGCTGCTGGTCCCGTCTCGTGAAACTACAACAACAATGAACTTGTGGAAGATTCGGAGAGGCAGGTTTGAGCCGTGGGCATAGGGAATTCCACTGTCAGCCCGAAAGCAGGGCGACCACTGTCAGCCTGGTGAAGATAGGAGCAGAGGACACAGCCACTAGTGGGGAACGGTAACCAACCACCAAGACGAGTGGGCTGTTTAGGGTAGGTTTTATTTGGTTCAGACTGGTTTAGATGAATGTAAGAAGTTTGTGCGAGGTTCTTGGGCAATTGAGCTCTACCACCCCCAATTTCAAGGTCGAGACAACTTCTGGGAGGGGAACCAGCGAAACGGGTTGAACAGAAAGCACCGTTGAGCCGTTCATTCAGCCCTGTCTGGAAGATCTGTCTTGCGATCCAACGGCGCAAACAGCCCTGACTTCAGATGGTTGTTCCAGAGAATGTCGCTGCCGAAACGACAGGCACGATTCTCGTCAGAGAATGGTGGAGCGATATAAGCACTTTGATAACGGATCCGAAGAGCGGTCATACTCATCCCTAAGTAAGAAATCCTACCTCACCAAGTGTTTCCAAGGTATGATAAAAGCCCAAATTAAAAAGGCCTCCCTAGTTAATAATGATTTCAATATGTTTTTTTAAATATAAAATAATGCTGTTATTTTTCTATTTGTGTCCTTTTGTACTTGTATATATATATTTTTAGCAAAATCGTAATGAACATATTGAAATCTCGAATGATAACAGCAAACGCAGAATTCTAATGTGAATCGCAAAATCGAATCGCAATGTGCGGTCTGTGCGCAATTATTTGGTCGCCCGCACATCCCGCGCAACTCGTGAATTGTAATTGCACAGAGAGAGAGCCGCCTGGCAGTTTACAACGAACCGCACAAAAACCGCTTAACCACTTTGTGATGCTACAAACCTTGCTATACCTGTTTATAGTATTGACAATTACAGAACCCACCAACCGCGCCAGCAACTGAACCAGCAGATTCGCATGTTTCATAATTTCGAGGTGCGTCGCACACCAGCCACAGAGCATCCGCAAACAGGGGTGGCCAAGTTTCCTGGCGATAAAGCGCCACATCCGACGCTAGAAGGCCCAGCAATAAACCGAGGCGCTACGGGAAGCATAGTTGCCGAACCGCCTCATGCGATGTCGAACCGCAACATGCGGCAAAGCCTGCAATCGGCGCTCACGGTTAGCATATTTAAACCTGTGCGAGTTGAAAACAACTCATCCAGCTCGCCATTTCAGTACAACCACGGGGCTCTTTCCCAGCATAGCTGATAGCAAGTATCGAACTCCATCATGGGCACGTCTCGCCCTCGTTTTCTGCTCGCGCTCGTCCTCGTGGCGTCTCTGAACCTCCTCGCGGATTCCGCCGCGCCGCTCCCTCTTGATGAATACTACGACGCGAGCGAGCTTGCTGGTCTCGAGGAATCATTCGAAGCGCGGCGCGCGCTCTTCGAGGCTGAAAGTGACGTTGCAGTTGACTCCGTTGACGCCGATGACTGGGTTGAATCCGACAACTCGGAGGATCCGCGAATCCTGGCGGATGTGGCGCCGGACTTGACGCAGTCGTCGGATGGCGCCAGCGGCAGCCTGAGCGCGAAGAAATCGCCGCTCGCCAGGCGTACGGCAGCGGCGAACGTGCGCGCGGGCCAGTCGGCCGACTCCGCGGCTTCACCCGCTGGCGAGGCCAGCGCCGCGCGGCCCTGGAAGGGGAAGCACGGGAAGAGGAGGAAGCACTGCGTGCGGCGTCGGAGGGGCAGGTGCGTCAAGTGGGCAGCGACGAAGCATCGTCATAGCAGAACAACCAAGAAGACAACCAGCGACCTGAAAACTGCTGACAAGGCACTCAAGACACCAAAGGGCTTTGAGAGTGGCGTGCCCGCGGTTGGGAAGAAGGGGGCGGGAGCTGTCAGCGCATTTGAGTCTACTCAAAAGAAGGGGGAGGTATCTGTCAACGCCTTGGGCGCTGAGAGCAGCTCGGGCGCAGCCCCCCAGCCCCGCGCGCTTCTCGGGGCCGATAGTGATGCCTCACTTGACTCCGTTGACTGGATTGACTCCGTTGAATGGATTGACTCCGTTGACTCGGACGACCTGCGGATTCTCCTCGGGGCTGACGGCGATGCCTCATTCGACTCCGTTGATTCTGTTGACTCGCCCCCGCCACTTGACTCCGCGGCTTCACCCACTGGGGGCAAGGCCGGCGCCGCCGCGCGGCCGAAGCGGGGGAAGAAGAAGCACTGCGTGCGGCATCGGAGGGGCAGGTGCGTCGAGTGGGCAGCGAGGAAGAAGCATCGCCATACCAAGCCCAAGACAACCAGCGAGCTGCGAACCGTTGGCAAGGCATCTAAGAATCCGAAGGGCGCCGACAGCAACTCAGGCACAGCCCCCCAGCCCCGCGCGCTTCTCAGGGCCGATAGCGATGCCTCACTTGACTCCGTTGACTGGATTGACTCCGTTGACTGGATTGACTCCGTTGACTCGGAGGACCCGCGGATTCTCCTCGGGACTGACGGCGATGCCTCATTCGACTCCGTTGAATCTATTGACTCGCGCCCGCCAGTTGACTCCGCGGCTTCACCCACTGGGGGCAAGGCCGGCGCCGCCGCGCGGCCGAAGCGGGGGAAGCATGGGAAGAAGAAGCACTGCGTGCGGCATCGGAGGGGCAGGTGCGTCGAGTGGGCAACGACAAAGAAGCATCGTCACACCAGGCCGAAGACAACCAGCGAGCTGAGAACTGCTGGAATAGCGTCTAAGAACGGGGAGGATGGCAGCAAGGGGAAGGGAGCAGCGGCAGACAGCAACTAGGTGCTGTGGTGTGGTGGGTGGGTGGGTGTGTGTGTGTGTGTGTGTGTGTGTGTGTGTGTGTGTGTGTGTGTGTGTGTGTGTGTGTGAGGCGAGCGGAGGCGAGGAGGGGGATGTGAGGGGAGCTGCGAAATGTTTGTGCTATCTCAGGGGTGTGCAAAAGCATTATAGTGGGTGTGGAGGGTGGGAGATGAGGGGGCAAGATAGGCTGCAAGGGATAGAGTGTGGGAAGAACAAGATGGATGTTTTATACTTCTCGTTTGCTTTCCTTTGCATCATGGTGCCATTTTCTTTGGGCTGTTGATAATGAAGCTATGATTGTCTTTGCCAGTACCGCTGTTCTCTGTGGCTCTCCTACGGTATCTCCCAGCTCTTACTGTAATCCATCACCCACCAGCGTTACACTCAAGCTGTCCCGAACACAGTATGCAACAACAACGTTTGCTAATACACACATACTTCACTAAATGTTTCAGAAAGTATTCGGAGAGCAACAAAAACAGTTATAATGCCTACTTTTCAGACCCCTTCTTACAGTGCCATTCAGTTACAATAGTAAACAAAGGACCTGACAACATTCCTTCTCGAGCACAAAGCCTTCCCAAACGTGCCAATCACAACTTAAACACCACCCCAGCGATTTGTGATTTGTGACTAATACCAATACATAGCATCAACCAACCTCACTAAATGCCAATCAGAGCCACCCACACGCACTAGTTGCCGCCCAACGCTGCCCATTCCAGATCTGCCATAGTGGGCCCCACGCCTCCTCCTCCCCTCCCTCCCTCCGCCTGACTCCCTGCACTCCCCTTCCCCTTCCCTTGCTCCTTGGCCCCACTCCCCCTCTCACTTCCCTGAACTGCCGTCAACCCCACTCCTGCTCCTCCTGCTCCTGCTGCTGCTGCTGCTCCTGCCGAGCCCACTCCAGCCGCTGCTGCTCCATCTTTTCTCCCACTCTCAGCAACCCTAGCCTTGGCAGCAAATTCCCTTTCAAACTGGCTGAAATCCACAGGCACAGCAATGGTCGCCGGCCCACGCTTCGGCTCACCTGCCCCTTCCAGCACCGAAAGGTCAAGCGGGGCAGACATGCCCTCCACACCACTCGAGCCAACCCTAGGAGGCGGGGGGCGGGAGAACGAAGCATTGTCTTGTGAGAGAGAATCAGGTGCGGTCCAGTTTCCACCCGCAGCAGCAGCAGCGAGAGACCAAGCCGGAGCAGCTGCTGCTGCCGCGGCTGCTGCTGCAGAAGACTGGAACCCTCCTGCAACCCCTCCTGCTGCTCCCGCTGCTCCGAACCCCAAACTGCCGTCTTCCGAGGTTAGAGCAACGGAGAATTCCCGAGGGGGGACGATTTGGATGGGAGGGTCTTTGGAGGTGGGGGCGAGGGTCTGGAATGGGTCTTCTGAGGCTTGGGTGTTGGCAAAGAGGGTGTTGAAGTGCGCTGTGTGGAGCATGTTGTGTCGCTTCAGCTGCACCTCCTCCTTCTGCAACCACCGGTTCCATTGCTTGAGGAGAGCTGCGAGTGTAGGGCGCCCGTGGGACTGGGGGGGAAGGGGGGGTAAAGGGAGAGGGAGAGGAGGAGAGGACGTGGGAGTGAGTTGATGTGGTGCGTTCACTGCCCCCACTCCTTCTGTAACCACCGGTTCCACTGCTTGAGGAGTGCTGCCAGGGTGGGGCGCCCGTGGGACTGGTGGGGATAACAAACGAACCAGAGGGAACGGAGCACAGGAGAGAGCTGCACCTCCTCCTTCTGCAGCCACCGGTTCCATTGCTCCAGCAGGGCTGCAAGCGTGGGGCGCCCGTGGGACTTGGGGGGGGGGGGGTTGGGGGGTTAGAAGGAGAGAAACAGAAGGGGAGAAACGGAAGAGTGAGTGAGAGAGTAAAGAGGGTCTGAAAAGGGTCTTGGGAGGCTTGGGTGTTGGCAAAGAGGGTGTTGAAGTGCGCTGTGTGTAGCATGTTGTGCCGCTTCAGTTGCACCTCCTCCTCCTGCAACCACCGATTCCATTGCTTCAGCAGCGCGGCTAGGGTGGGGCGGCCGTGGGACTGGAGGGGAAGGGGGGGACAATGGGAGGTGGGAGAGGAGAGAACGTGAGAGTGAGTTGAGGTGGTGCCTTCACTGCACCTCCTCCTTCTGCAGCCACCGGTTCCATTGCTTCAGGAGAGCTGCGAGTATGGGGCGCCCGTGGGACTGGGGCCAGGGAGAAAAGAAGACAGGAGAAAGAAAGGAAAGGGGGACAGGAGAGGCAGAGACATGGGAGAGGGGGAGAAGGGAAGAAACATGTCATTGCTATGCCACCGTACGGCTATGCAGACACTGTGAGTGACTATTCATGTGACAATTCTTATCACAACTATTTGTGTGACTCTATCCATGTGACCATTCATGTGACTCATGTGACTCTATCCACCAGAACATGCGGGGCAGCTTCAGGCAACACGCCCGTGTCAGCCCATGCCTTCTCCAACATATTCGCATCATCCAGCAGCGCTGCCACGTGAACCAAGCGTGACGGTGACCACATGTGTGTGTGACTCTACTCAGGTGGCTGTATTGATTCCACTCACCAGGGCGTGCAGGACAGCTTCAGGCACCACGCCTGTGTCAGCCCATGCCTTGTCCAACATAGTGAGCCAGGCATATACCAAGAGGGTTTGCACTTACATGACCGTTTCAGTGTGATTATACTTAGTTGCCACTCACCAGGGCGTGCAGAGCAGCTTCAGGCACCATCCCCGTGCCCGCCCATGCCTTCTCCAGCAGATTCGCATCCCCCAGCAGCGCTGCTGCAAAAAACAAGTATGAGGATGCGTGTGTGTGACTCCATTCATACTATCCACTATGCAAGCCACTCACCAGGGCGTGCAGCGCAGCTTCAGGCACCATGCCGGTGTCAGCCCATGCCTTCTCTAAGAGATTCGCATCCCCCAGCAGCGCTGCTGCACATGCAGCCTCCCGACCGCACCCTCCCCGCACGAGTGACTGGATCTGCATCTGTAGGAAGGGAAGGGGTAGGTGAGGAAGAGAGGGTTAGGTGATGCGAGAAGGGAGTATGAGGCACGACATATCACCACAGTCGGCGCTGCTGCACGTGCTGCCTCCCTCCCACACCCTCCCCGCACAAGAGACTGAATCTGCATCTGTAGGGAGGGAAGGGGTAGGGTAGGTGAGGAAGAGAGGGTTAGGTGATGAGAGGGGGGAGTATGCGGCACGACATATCTACCACAGTCGGCGCTGCTGCACGTGCAGCCCTCCCTCCCGAACCCTCCCCGCACGAGTGACTGGATTTGCATCTGCAAGGAGGGAAGGGGTAGAATAGGTAAAGGAAGAGAGGGTTAGGTGATGTGAGGGGGAGTATGCGGCACGACATATCTACCACAGTCAGCACTGCTGCACGTGCAGCCTCCCTCCCACACCCACCCCGCACGAGCGACTGGATCTGCATCTGCAAGAGGATCGCGGGTGGGTGAAGAGGAGAGAGTGATGTGAGAATCTAGAGCATCAGGCAAGACAAATCCAGCATATCAGGTGAGTCAGCTAGAAGGGATCTCCAGCAGACTCCTGAGCATTCTAAAAACTCGCTCACGAGAATTCTAAAAAACATAGAGCATCAGGCAAAACAAATCCAGCATGTCAGGCATTTAGAAGGATCTCCAGCAGACTCGCCCCTGGCAGCTGCCCTGCCGCGTTGTAAGATGCACATAGATCTACAACAGCGCCTTGAGAAGTCACCTTGTGCGTCGGAGTGCCTCACGTGCAGCCTGGTGCCCTCCCCGTGCAGAGCAAGCCGCAGAGACACCCTGCGCTGCACGGCTGGCAGCAGCGCGCCCTCCAGCAGACTGCCCCCGCCTGCTGGCGCAGCGCCTTCTAAAATGCATACAGATCTACAGCAGCGCCTTCTAAAATGCATACAGATCTACAGCAGCGCCTTCTAAAATGCATACAGATCTACAGCAGCGCCTTCTAAAATGCATACAGATCTACAGCAGCGCCTTCTAAAATGCATACAGATCTACAGCAGCGCCTTCTAAAATGCATACAGATCTACAGCAGCGCCTTCTAAAATGCATACAGATCTACAGCAGCGCCTTCTAAAATGCATACAGATCTACAGCAGCGCCTTCTAAAATGCATACAGATCTACAGCAGCGCCTTGAGAAGTCACCTTGTGCGTGGGAATGCCTCACCTGCAGCCTCGTTCCCTCCCCATGGAGAGCCAGACGAAGGGAAACCCTCCGCTGCACGGCTGGCAACAGCGCACCCTCCAGCAGACTCGCCCCCGCCAGCTGGCGCAGCGCTCGCACCGCCACGTCAGCCTGCCCTGTGGCGTCCGCAGCGTCGACCAGGTCGAGGAATTCCGAGGCATAGCGCGCCACTCCCACTGCTGCTTCCATCATACTGGGGGGGTTGGGGAGATGAAGTATTGGGGAGTTGGAATAGGCGTCTTGTACTGATAAGAGGAAGGGTCAGCCTGCCCCGTGGCGTCTGCTGCGTCTACGAGGTCGAGGAACTCCGAGGCATAGCGCGCCACTCCCACCGCTGCTTCCATCATGCTGGGAAGGGGAATGGAGGGGATGGGGTGGTAATGGGGTTTGGGAAGTAGGGATTGGGGGGGGATAGAAGGAAAGTCAGCCTGCCCCCTGGCGTCTGCTGCGTTTACGAGGTCGAGAAAATCAGAGGCATAGCATGCCAATCCCACCGCTGCTTTGTCGGAGATACAGCCATGCCTTCTCTGCCTTTGTCTTCATGGTCATCTTCACTTAGCTGCCTCTGTTGATTGTTATGCAAGACACGAGACTCTCACCTCAAGGGGTCCTCCCTGAATGGTGTGTCATTCGTAAGCTAGGCTTGAAGCAACAACAGTACACTATACGAAAGGATAACAATCAGAAAGCATTGTGCGTGTGTGAGAGTGAACTTACCTGACCCTGGCTCGAACCGTGCATTTCTCAATGTGCGGCTCGAGCCTGGGTTGGTTCGTTCCCATTGGTTGCATGGATTTCACCCCTTGGTGCTCTCCTACCAACTTCGCGTCAATTTCCCAGCCCCCACCTACCCATCCTTGAACCTGCACGTACAATATAGCTACATCACTCCTACACTTCCGTATTACTGGCACCTTATATGCACAATCGTGCATATTCGGTGACAGCTTCCATCCTGTTGGGACGGGATTATGGGAGAGGGTAGAAGGGGGAGCGGCGGGGAGGGAAGATTCGGTTGAAAGAGGTGAAGTGGCATTTGCTGTGCTGCATCTACGAGGTTGAGGAGCTTGGGGGGCATAGTGTGTCACTCCCACCACCGCCTCCATCATGCTGTTAGTTAGAAAGAAAAGAGGAAAAGCAGGGATTGAGATTAAAAGGTTGGGACAACGGGAATATGGGGATCGGGGCTCGACAGTCAGGCATTGGGCATTGGAGTGCAGATGGGAGAAACCAGCCTGTCCCGTGGCGTCCGCTGCGTCGACTAGGTCGGGAAACTTTGAGGCATAGCGTGCCACCCCCACTGGTGATACTATTGTAACACCCACCAGCTTCTTACGTGCATCACTCACTTGGCTTGACTTGCAGCCATGGCGAGGATCCCAGTGGAGTCCATCTGGCTGTCCATGGCTGCATCGGCATCAGTCATGGGTGTTTAATATTGCACCTCGTACTTCCGCCTAACCCTCCCACACCGCACATCACCGCTCATTACTCACTTGGCTTGTGATGCCGCCATTGCAAGGATGCCAGTGGAGTCCATCTGGCTGTCCATGGCTGCATCGGCATAGAAGGTCCCAACCCAACCCCCCACTAGCGCTCATCTGGGTATGGATGAAGCTTGCACAGTCCAACACCGCACAGCACCGCTCATCACTCACTTGGCTTGACTAGCAGCCATGGCGAGGATGCCAGTGGAGTCCATCTGGCTGTCCATGGCTGCATCGGCATCAGAGGTCCCAGTCCCCCCAGCAGTGCTTATGAATGAAGCTTCCCCAGTCCAATACCGCATACCACCGCTCAGCACTCACTTGGCCTGTGAGGCTGCCATGGCGAGGATGCCAGTGGAGTCCATCTGGCTGTGCATGGCTGCATCAGCATTGCAGGTCCCAACCCAACCCCCCACTAGCGCTCATCTAGGTATGGATGAAGCTTGCACAGTCCAGAACCGCACAGCACCGCTCATCACTCACTTGGCCTGGCTTGCCGCCATTGCGAGGATGCCAGTGGAGTCCATCTGGCTGTCCATGGCTGCATCGGCATCCGCCACTGGAGCCCCCGAGGCGGACATGGGGCGGGAGAGCGCCATGAGGCAGTGTAAAGCACGGTCCAACTCGCCACAGGAGAGGGCAAGCTCGTATTCAAACCTGATGGGGAGAGGGGATGGGGGAGGGGAGACAAAGGAGCAGCAACAGCAGCATAAGGATGGGGCACGGGAGCTCCAGATGCAGACATGGGGCGGGAGAGCGCCATGAGGCAATGGAGAGCGCGGTCCAACTCGCCACAGGAGAGGGCGAGCTCGTATTCAAACCTGCCAGCCAGTAATAGAGGGGGGGAAGGGGTCATTAGCATGAGCATCAGCCACGGGTGCCCCTGAGGCGCACATGGGGCGGGAGAGCGCCATGAGGCAGTGCAGCGCACGGTCAAGCTCGCCACACGAGAGTGCCAATTCGTACTCGAACCTGCCAGGGAGGGGAGATGGGGGAGGGGGGAGAGCAGCAATGGCAGCATGAGCATCGGGCACAGGTGCCACTGAGGCGGACATGGGGCGGGAGAGCGCCATGAGGCAGTGCAGCGCACGGTCCAGCTCGCCACAGGAGAGGGCAAGCTCGTATTCGAACCTGCCGAGAGAGGGGAGAGGGATGGGGAGCAGCCGCAGCATGGCTACCATAAACAATCCTATAAACATCCTATCCACACAATACCGCCAACACTCATACACACTTCATTGCTCACCGCTTGGACAGCCCAGGTAAGTGCAGCGCCACTCTCGCATACATCACCATGCACTGTGTGAGACAGCACCCTACGCATCCATGTATGTGCTAGTCTGTTGCCATGAAACCGCTTCTTGCTTCCCAACCCACCTCTTGGACAGCCCGGGTAAGTGCAGCGCCTCTCTCGCATACCCCATGCCCACCATAAACTGGGCCAAGTCGTCATGGTGCTCTCTCCCCAGGCGAGATGCCCTGGTGGAGAGTGGTGATAAGTGGTGGGGAGTGGAGATGAGGGGTGGTGAGGGTTGTGAGGTTGAGTCTGGGGGGGTTGCGGGAAAGGCATACCCCATGCCCACCATGAACTGCGCCAGGTCGTCATGGTGCTCTCGTCCCAGGCGAGACGCCCTGGTGGGGAGTGGTGGGGAGTGGTGGGGAGTGGTGGGGAGTGGTGAGGAGTGGTGAGGGGGTGGTGAGGGTAGGTGAGGGGGAGAGGTGAAGGCTACAGATACAACTGGGATAGGAGAACAAATTCGTCCCACGGGAGATGCAATGGTGGTGTGGTGTGGGGTGGTGAGGAATACAGAGACAATAGCGAAAGAACGGGTCATTACGAAGCCCCCTATAGGGTCGGCTGGCCAGGAGAGGATAGGTGGCGGAGTGGCGAGGGAGAACGGAGAGAGGGAGAGAGAGAGCAAGGAACACCGGCAATGGGGTGGACGGGAAGGAAAGGATGGGGGAAGGGCAGGAATGACATGATACAGGAGGGGGCAGGTAGGGCAGTTGGGAGAGCGCGAGAAGGGCACAGGCGGCATTGATGTTGTGCAAAGGTGATAGAATCTGAGTCAATTCTTGCGAGGCCATGGGAAAAGGTGGCAATGTTGTGGGAGGGTGGCAATGTTGTGGGAGGGTGGCAATGTTGTGGGAGGGTGGCAATGTTGTGGGAGGGTGGCAATGTTGTGGGAGGGTGGCAATGTTGTGGGAGGGTGGCAATGTTGTGGGAGGGTGGCAATGTTGTGGGAGGGTGGCAATGTTGTGGGAGGGTGGCAATGTTGTGGGAGGGTGGCAATGTTGTGGGAGGGTGGCAATGTTGTGGGAGGGTGGCAATGTTGTGGGAGGGTGGCAATGTTGTGGGAGGGTGGCAATGTTGTGGGAGGGTGGCAATGTTGTGGGAGGGTGGCAATGTTGTGGGAGGGTGGCAATGTTGTGGGAGGGTGGCAATGTTGTGGGAGGGTGGCAATGTTGTGGGAGGGTGGCAATGTTGTGGGAGGGTGGCAATGTTGTGGGAGGGTGGCAATGTTGTGGGAGGGTGGCAATGTTGTGGGAGGGTCACCATGAGCAACGCAAGGAGGAGTGGAAGAAAATGGTCCATGGACGAGGGGGTAGAGAGCGATAGAGAGCGATAGAGAGCGATCGAAGGAGAGAGAGTATGAGTGAAGGATAGAGAGAGGTGGAGAGGGATAAAGAGAGATGGATAAGGATAAATAGGAGGCACGCACCACTTGACGGCACCAACAGGGTCGCCATGAGCAGCAAGGCACCGACAGCGCACACCGGGGTGGGAGAGAGAGATAGCATGTGCTGTCATGTACCTGACGCAGGGGGGGGGTGAGGGGGTTGAACGAGGATGCATGCATTGTGAGGTTGAAGGGGGAGGTGGGGGGCGGGGGGAGATTGTACAGAGTGGGCACCAGCAGCGCACACCGGGGTGGGAGAGAGACATGGCATGTGCTGTCATGTACCTGGTGCGATCAGGGGAGTGGAAGAGGTCAGATGGGTGAGGTTGAGGGTGGTCAGAGCATGGATTGTAAGTCTGGTAAGAGTGGGCTATGGAAGCAAACAGTGGCGGGAGAGGGGGAGGCAAAGCCTGAGCCCAGCACAACTATTGGCACAAGCATTACCAGTCAGAGAGCATGCCCGCAGCAACTCACCGGTCCTCTAGCCATAGGACGCCGTCTCGCACCCCCACCACATACACCACTGCAGGCAGCACTGCCACTCACTGGTCCACGAGCCATAAGACGCCGTCCCTCACACCCACCACATACACCTGCCCCACTGGCCGCCGCTGCTCCATGGGCAGCCGCCCGGCTGTTGCCATGGGCCTTACTAGTCACACACCACTGCAGGCAGCACTGCCACTCACCGGTCCACCAGCCATAAGACGCCGTCTCGCACCCCCACCACGTACACCTGCCCCACCGGCCGCCTCTGCTCCATGGGCAGCCGCCCAGCCGCCACCGGCACGCCCCCGCCGCCCACCACCACTTCGGGCGGCTTCACCTCAGGGCCGTCCAGCAGCCCCGGACCAGACGAGGCTCCGGGCGGCGCTGACGTGGCGTCGGCTGATAGGCTGCGGGCCCGAGCCATGGCTGAGATGGGGGGGACTGCTGGGGGGGAGGAGAAGGAGGCAAGGCGAACCACCTGGGGGAGGTGGAAGAGAGGGCGGGGAGAAGGAAAGAAAGAAAGAGAGATTGAGAAGGGTGATCCACTCACCTACAGAGCCAGTTCGCCCTTCTCAGGCTCACAGGGGAAGATGCAAGCTACTGTCACACGCTATACCGCACTGCACCACACTCACTCACCTGCAGCATGGTAGGTCGCAGCTGCACTCTCTCCGGCGCCTCCTCTGTCTTAAGAGGCGCGCCATGGCCAGCAGAGCCAGCTCGCCCTTCTCAGACTCACAGGAGACGAAGCACCCTACTGTAACATGCTCCACCGCACTGCACCACACCCACTCACCTGCAGGCTGCAGCATAGGGGGTCGCAGCTGCACCCTCTCAGGAGCCTCCTCTGTCTTGGGGGGCGCCATGGCCAGCAGAGCCAGCTCTCCCTTCCCAGGCTCACAGGAGAACTAAGACACCCTACTGTAACATGCTCCACCACAATCCACCACCCTTACCTGCAACATGGGCGGCCGCAGCTGCACTCTCTCCGGCGCCTCCTCTGTCTTGGGAGGCGCCATGGCCAGCAGAGCCAGTTCGCCCTTTTCAGCCACCACCTTCGCCTCCTCCTCCCTCCTCTTCCGCTCCTCCTTGCGCCTCCTCGTCTCCAGGTCGATGGCACTCACACCTGCATCCACAAACACACACCTGGATGGAGGGAGGGGGGAAAGGAGATACGTGACGTGAAGGGAGGAGGGGATGGGTAAAACACCCACGAAAGCCCTTCTCAGCCACCACCTTCGCCTCCTCCTCCCTCCTCTTACTCTCTTCCTTGCGCCTCCTCGTTTCCAGGTCTATGGGGGGAGGCAGAAATGAGGGAAGGTGCAGGGAGGTTAGGCACTTGCAAACACCCTTTTTTGCCACCAGCTTCGCCTTCCCCTCCCTCCTCTTCCTCTCCTCCTTTGTCGCGGAGGTGGGGTTAGCCAGGAAGAGCTGGCGGTGGTGCCAAGTGTCACCAGTGGGGGCCCCGAACAGACACGTGCCTCAGACAGCGGAACTGCGGGCGTAGTGTGGCAACGACGATGTGAGTGGTGTAGGCAAAGGCACAGTACTCTACTGCGGAGGCAAAGGCGCCTCTGACTGCCACGTGGCCCAGGCAGCGGAAGTGCGGGCGCAGCGTGGTGACCACAATGTGCATCCCTGGTACAATATTTACTCACTCGACTGAAGTAGGAGTAGCCAGGAAGTGCTGACTCCTGTGCCATGTCCCTCCTGTCGCTCCCCGCACTGCCACGTGGCCCAGGCAGCGGAACTGCGGGCGCAGCGTGGTGACCACAATGTGTGTGGTGGAGCAGTGGAGGGGACTACTAGGCACAGTACACAGCACACAAGACACTAGACACTCACTCGACAGAGGTGGGAGTAGCCAAGAAGAGCTGACGCCTGTGCCATGTCCCTCCTGTGGCCCCTTTGACTGCCACGTGGCCCAGGCAGCGGAACTGCGGGCGCAGCGTTGCCACCACGATGTGCGTGGCGTAGGCAAAGGCGCAGTACTCTACAATGGGGTCCCACGCGGTCCAGTGCGGTTCTGGGAGCATGCCGCTGACTGGCTTGAACGTCTCCCAACTGAAAAAGGGGGGAGGAAGTGAGGGAGAATAGTCAGAGCAGACAAGGGAGTGGAGAGTGGTGGGAGAGAAGATTGATGGGAGAGAGTGGGGGGGAGACAAAGCCGCAGTGCTCCACTGTAGGGTCTCATGCGGTCCAGTGCGGTTCCAGTAGCATGGCGGTGACTGGGTTGAACGTTTCCCGGATGGAGTGGGACGTTAGAAGGGGAAAGAAGGAAGGAGATAGATGAGGGCGAGAGCGAGACGCTGAAAAAGAGAAGGCGGGCAAAAGCTCATAGCATAAAAATGGGGAGTACCTTATAAGATGGAAGTTAGGCAGGTGCTCACTATAGTCCGCCATTGTCTCTGAGAGGGATAGGGCAATGGGGAAGTATTGAAGAGAGAGATAGAAAAAAAAAAAGGGAAGAGAGGAAATGAAGACATGGAAGATGAGAGTCTCAACGAGAGAGACGGGATGGGAGCTCACTGTGGTGTGCCATGGCTTTCAGGGGGAACAGGAAAAGAAAAGAGCAAGAGGCAGGGAACATGAAAAAGTGCTCCGAAGGACAGGACAACCCAAGGGGTGGATGCTCACACACTGCCACGACTAGTGCTTTTTAGCCAGCCAGAGTATAGCTCGAAACAGGTTAAAATGAGTATCCACCCCTTGTGTTTCCCTGTCAGAACATGAGGTCTCGATCACAGAGCAGCAAGTCTCACTCGCGTGCGTTCAGCAACAGCTTGAGAAAAGTGGTAGTCATTTATCAGAACTCTCGATGTTTGCGCACAGTGCTACACGTGTGTCACTTACGAGAGTTCTCTAGAATAGCATGCCTGTAACAAGAAGGATGGTGCTTGCAATACCCACCAACTTGCGAGGAGAGCGCAGCAGAGGGCAGGCTGACACCCGGCAGCGATGCCTTCTTGGGCATGCGATAGGCCACTACCAACGACAGCACCCCACCACCAGGTAACAACATCGCTGCTCTCACTGCAACTAGCCCACTACCCCAACTCACCGGCTCGTGAGGAGAGCGCAGCAGAGGGTAGGCTGACACCCGGCAGAGATGCCTTCTTGGGCATGCGATAGGCCACTCCCAGAAGTGCGCCTGGGAAGAGACCCGTCACCTGCAGAGACAGGACAGGACGGCAGGAGAAAGGCTTGTGAGAACCATGAAAAGACCCAGCGTCTAGCCTTGTTTTGCAGGGATGGATCGGATCGGAGGGCAGACAGGTTCTAGATCGCGACATCCAGACTCAATCGATCTAGTTACGTGCAGAGAGGGTGTTTTTGAGACGTCTCAAAAAGCATACAGGTTCTAGATCGCGCGTCCAGATTCAATTGATCCAGTTCCAGCCATCCCAAGGCTCAGTTTACTTCGCACGCACCTGCTCGCGGCGTCCAGATTCAATGGATGTGCACATGATCTGCACTTTCCCGTCCTTCCGGATCCGCCGGACCTCCACAGTCGCCCCTGCCAGCGCTGCAGCCGCAGCAGCCATGGCAGCAGCAGCTGCCGCCTCTGCCTCCTTGGCGTCCTTCTTGCTGCGCCCTCTGAACCCGTGCCTGCCGGAACTGGCAGAGCTGCTCTGCACCTGGGGAAATATGGTGGGAGGGGGGAGAGACAGGGGAGAGGCACAGGAGGGAGGTTGACTCTGCTAGCAGCGGCCCCTCATTGAAAGGCGAAATGGGACTGCAAGGTGTCCCCAGTGAGAGTGATACAGGGTGCATGGAAAGAAGGCAATCAAAGGCTGCACAGACAGAAGCAGCATACAAACGCGGCACTCATACCTTGGGCACCACAGCCCCTCCCAGGATGGCGAAGCGGTCTTGACAGGTGTCCCAAGCAAAGTGGCGGGCCGTGCCCGAGTCCACCACGCCCCAGTCCGCCGTGCTGTACACGCTGTAGAACGGCACCTCAGGCCACAACACTGCCAGGTACCTGGTCAATAGAAGTATAGGAAAAGAAGAAAGGGACCAAACAAAGGAGGGGAGGGGACGAAAGGCAGTTTAGAGGAGTGCAAGAGAGCCCACCACGCCCCAATCCGGCGTGCTGTACACGCTGTAGAATGGCACCTCGGGCCACAGCACTGCCAGATACCTGATGGTAGGGAATGAAGGGTAGTGAGGACCAAAACAGGGGGCAAGGAGAAAGGATGAGGGAGTGCAAACGAGCCCACCACGCCCCAGTCTGCCGTGCTGTAGAATGGCACTTCCGGCCACAGCACCGACAGATACCTGATGGTTAAGAGTCGAGGAAGGGTAGTGAGGGGCCAAGGGAATAGTAGTGGGCAAGGGAAAGTGATGAAGGGTGGTAGAGAGCAAAGAAGTCCGCCACGCCCCAGTCTGCTGTGCTGCAGACGCTGTCGAACGGCACCTCCGGCCACAGCACTGCCAGGTACCTGTTGTGGTTGTGAGATTTATGGGCCATGGAAACAACTCGATCTAGTGCGTTGCTTGAGGTCAGAGGAGCAGGAATGGCTCCACCTGCTCAGTGCATGTGCTAAGCTGGAGGAGCTAAGGGTGCAACAAGATGACACATTCTCAGATGCAGTGGTAGCGGGAAGCATGCTCGATTGTTCGCTAGTTTGACCGTGGTGATGTGTGATATGATCAATGCAACAGACAATGAAGGGGCTACTAGAAACCTTTTTCTTCAAACGGTTTTGATGGGAAAGGCTCTTGAAGCAGCTCTCGTGGAGCCCTTTTCGAAACCTTCTCCACTTCCATACTCAAGTAACGAAACATGCGAAAGCTTTCAAAAAGCCCGCTAATGCCTGTTGCATTGATCATATCACACATGACCACGGCCAAACTCACGAACAAGCCCAGCGAGCTTCCGCTACCACTGCGTCTAGAAAAGTGTCATTCTGTTGCAACCTTAGCCCTCCAGCTTAGCACATGCACAGAGCAGTTTGAGTCATTCCTGCTCCTCCGAGCTGAGTTGTTCAAGCCACCTGGTGCAGTTCTTATGGAATCAATCAAGCAAACTGGGGGCCAAGGGTAAGGCGTGAAGGGCTGCACCACTGTCGTGTACTTTATGATGGGAGTTGGTTCGGAGTCACAAGTTTAGGGCTTACATGATTGTAAGACTTTGTTGCTGAGCCTGATAGTCATTGTGGCATGCCTCGGTTGGTGGGCGTCCATCATGTCTATTAACTTGCCGGACCTACTTACTTGCCGGACCTACTTACTTGCAGGACCTACTTACTTGCCGGACCTACTTACTTGCCGGGCCTACTTACTTGCCGGACTTGCTGACGGAGAGGTGAGAGTAGCTCTCATGCGCAACAGGCGCTGCTCTCCTCCTCTCCTGCTTCACCTGCATGTAGGGTGGGCAGGCCGCAGGTGGGATGAGCAGGTGGAGTGGGGAGGCAAGCACGAAGGCAAAAAATGTGAAATCCGAGCCTAACTGGAGTAGAGGGGCCTCTAAGCCCTTTAGAAACTCAGAGCGAGCTGAAGCCCTACAAGCCCTTTAGAAACTGACAATGAGGTGATTCGGAAATTGTCCGTCCAAGCCAAGTGCACTCCATACCCTTCAAGGACCGACCCACCTCAGGCACAGCAGCTTCAAGAGCATCCACCCTGGTGACTCCCGCGGGGGTGACGGGCCGCTGACTGCCACTGCCACCGCCCGCCACAGTCACACCCGCCCCAGGTCCAACCTGCCCTGCTGTCAGCAGCTGAAAGGCCAGAGAGTTGAGCCCCCTGCCCAGGCAGAAAGCCACCTGAGGGTGTGCGAGGGGGGGAGGGCGAGTGGTAGTAGGTGGGCATGAGCATGAGGCTGAACTGAGAGTGCTCGGGATGAGCACAGTCACACCCGCCCCAGGCCCCACCTGCCCTCCTGTCAGCAGCTGGAACGCCAGAGAGTTGAGCCCCCTGCCCAGGCAGAAAGCCACCTGAGGGGGTGCGAGAGGGGGAGGGTGAGTGAGTGGTAGTAGGCATGAGCAGGTGGTGCACACCTGGTGCTGCCTGGAGCCCTGTGGCATAGGAAGCAGATGAGCAGTGGGCAGTGCCGCTGCGGGGGGCGCGCGTCAGTGCGGTCGAAGCAGATGAGCATGACTCGCATCCCATGTTGGTTGCACACACACACACACACACACACACTCACTCACTCACTCACTCACTCACTCACTCACTCACTCACTCACTCACTCACTCACTCATTCATTCCCATGTCGTCACCTGGTGCTGCCGGGAGCCCTGTGGCGTAGGAAGAGCTGCTGCGGGGGGCACAGCAGTGCGGTCGAAGCAGATGAGCATCACCCCCACGTTGGTGCCACACACCACCAGGTGAGGCTGTAGGCTGTGCGGCATCATGCAGTAGATCTGATACATGGGGAGGGAAGAGGCAAGGGGGGAGAGAGAAGGGGAAATAGGAAGAGAGAAGGGGAAAGAGGAAGAGAGCAGGTGAGGGATAGGTGAAAGCAGATGAGCAGCACACAACGTTGGTGCCACACACCACCAGATGCGGCTGCAGGCTGTGCGGCATCATGCAGTAGATCTGATGGGCAGGGAGGGGAATGGAGAGCGACGGGGGAGGGAGGGGGAGAGGACGAGAGAAGGTGGATTATGGGTGGAAGCAGCGCTTCCATAGGGATTCACTCTAATTTCCATGAAAACCCCGATCACTCCCACAAGCTTTCTCACTCATTATTGAAAATTCTCATAACTATTACTCACCTTGAGCTTCTTCCCTGCTGCCTGCTGGGGAGTGGGGGGCGCGTGGGTGGAGAGGTCGCAGATGGGCCTGCTGCCCCCTGATGCCTCCAGCGCCCTGAAGGAGGGAGGGGGGAGGAAGGGGGAGATGCGCCATGGGCAGGTGAAGAAAATAGGGGGAAACGAAGAGAGGGAGGGAAGGCGAGTGAGTGGAGAGGTCGCAGGTGGGCTTCCTGCCCCCTGAAAGTGACGAAAGAGAGAGAACAACAGGTGAAAGAGATTGGAGTACAACAGGTGGAGAGAGGAAGGGAATGGTGGGGGTGTGTGTGAGGGGGGTGTGTGTGAGGGGGGTGTGTGTGAGGGGGGTGTGTGTGAGGGGGGTGTGTGTGAGCGGGGTGTGTGTGAGTGGGGTGTGTGTGAGTGGAGTGTGTGTGAGGGGGGTGTGTGTGAGGGGGGTGTGTGTGTGTGAGTGGGGTGCATGTGTGTGAGTGGGGTGTGTGTGAGTGGGGTGTGTGTGAGTGGGTTGTGTGTGAGTGGGGTGTGTGTGAGTGGGGTGTGTGTGAGTGGGGTGCGTGTGAGTGGGGTGTGTGTGAGTGGGGTGTGTGTGAGTGGGGTGTGTGTGAGTGGGGTGTGTGTGAGTGGGGTGCGTGTGAGTGGGGTGCGTGTGAGTGGGGTGCGTGTGAGTGGGGTGTGTGTGAGTGGGGTGTCTGTGAGTGGGGTGTGTGTGAGGAATGTGTGTGAGTGGGGTGTGTGTGAGTGGGGTGTGTGTGAGTGGGGTGTGTGTGAGGAATGTGTGTGAGTGGGGTGCGTGTGAGTGGGGTGCGTGTGAGTGGGGTGCGTGTGAGTGGCGAGGCTACTGATGGGTATGCTGCCCCCTGATGCCTCCACTGCCCTGATCGAGGCATGCCATCTAACCAGCGACCCACACATGCACCAAACGAAACATCCCTCTGTCAGTCCCTGCATCCCACCACAAGAGCCAAAGCACGCCACCCACCACACAAACATGCCACCCACCAGACGTGCGAGTCCTTGGCGCAGGCGAGCACCTCGACAGCTGGCACGCGCGGGTGGCGCCAGCTGGCAATGGTGTGGCAGACGGCCTTGGGAATGGCGTGCTTCATCCTCCGCACCTCCTGCAGCGGAAGGGTAAGGCAAGGCAAGGGACGGGAGGTGAATGGAGGTGAGGCAAGAGATAGAGCAGCATATGGTATGCCAGGCAGGGGTAGTCGACTCAGGTGTGGCAGACAGCCTTGGGAATCGCGTGCTTCATCCGCCGCACGGTCCGCACCTCCTGCAGCGGTTAGAAAGAAGAGGAGGGAAGAGGCATGCCGAAAGGGGAAGGGGCAGATTTAGTGAATGATGTGTGGACACATGGCACTTGGAATGGTGCACTTCAGGCACTGCACTGCACCGCCAGCTGATCCCAACCACGCCTCCTTCCCCCTCTGCTTCAGGCAGCCCCGTGACCACACCACACCACACCCCACCACACCACACCACACCCCACCACACCACACCACACTATACCACACCACACCCCAACGTATCCAGCATATCCTGAACCAGAACAGCACACCCTTACACCCTCACCCTCGAAAACGCACCCGGAACATGGTGGTATCCCAGAAAGCCACCGATTTGTCAGCACCGCACGTCACAAGGTGGGGGGCAGCACCATGAATGCGAGCCAGGCTGATGCCCACAACTCCCCCGTCATGCGCCTTGGGGAGAGTGATCTTGGGCGCCACTTCCTTTGCTGGGCTCGCTTGGGAGTCCGCCCCCCACATCACCAGCGTCCCGTCCGCTCCTCCTGATGCCAGCATCATCTGGGGGAAGAGTGAGGTGTGGGAGCGCAGAGGAGGCAGAGAGAGAGAGAGAGAGAGAGAGAGAGAGAGAGAGAGAGAGAGAGAGAGAGAGAGAGAGAGAGAGAGAGAGAGAGAGAGAGAGAGAGAGAGAGAGAGAGCAAGGAAGCTGTTTGGTAGGAAAGGTAGAGCAAGGCTGATGCCCACCACTCCCCCGTCATGCGCCTTGGGGAGAGTAAGCTTGGGCGCCACTTCCCTTGCTGCGTTGGCCTGGGAGTCCGCCCCCCACATGACCAGCACACCATCCGCACCACCTGAGGCCGGCAGCATCTGGAAGGGAGAGGAAAGAGAGGGATGGGGCAAGGAAGGAAGAATAAGGAAGGTGGATACAGGAAGTAATGGGAAGAGTGATGAACCAATCCTTCTTGTTGTGCTGCACTCGCCTGGGAGTCCGACCCTCATGCTGGGGAGGGGGAGCAGGAGAGGGACACAAAGAGAGGGTGAGCAGGCGAGGGAGAGAAACAGGAGACGGAAATCACGGTGCTTCTACTACACATCTCCCCCTTGCCAGCCATCCATCTTTTGAGTTTGTTTTTTGAAAACTCTTAAAAAACTCATAAGTCACCTTAAAGAAACAGGAGATGGAAGTCACGTTGCTTCTACCACACACCTTCCCCTTGCCCGCCATAAAAGACACTGCACTCGTGAAGCCTGTGTGTGTGCCTCACCTGCTCACCCACCTGCTGCCCCCTTGCCTTCCCTAGCCTCTCACCTCCCCATTGCCAGCCATGAAGGGCAGCAGGCAATGCACTGCGCCCTTGTGCCCCCCTGTCAACTTGCGCGAAATCTGGCAGACACATGTACGCAGAGAGGGAGACAGAGAGGCAGAGAGGGAGACAGAGAGGCAGGGAGGGAGACAGAGTGGCAGAGAGAGGGGCAGAGAGAGAGGCAGACAGAGTGAAAGGCAAGTTGACTTTTGAGTCGACTCAAAGGGCAGCAGCAGGCAATGCACTGCGCCCTTGTGCCCTCCCGTGACCTTGCGCAATATCTGGCAGACACATGTACGCAGAGGAGGAGACCGAGAGGCAGAGAGGCCGAGAGAGGGGCAGACAAAGGGGGAGACAGAGGGGGGGGCAGAGGGGAGGACAGAGTTGGGTGCAGAGAGGGAGGCAGAGGGAAGGTAAAGAGAGAAGCATGCAGAGGGGCAGACAGAGGGGCAGACAGAGGGGTACAGCATCACTTGGACAGTCAGACACACGGTCTAGCAGTAAGAAATGCACGACTCTGTCTGCTTGACAAGGCTGTCCTGCCTGCTGCACGATCACTTGCCAGAACGATCACTCTCTGTGGCCTGCCTGCACGCTCACCTGCCTTCACTCTCTCACTCACCTGCCTTCACTCTCTCACTCACCTGCCTTCACTCTCTCACTCACCTGCCTTCACTCTCTCACTCACCTGCCTTCACTCTCTCACTCACCTGCCTTCACTCTCTCACTCACCTGCCAGGTTGCGAGGGAGAGCACTCGAATGGCCCCATCGGGCCCTCCAAAGCACGCAAAGGGACCGTCCCCTAGCGCACTGGAGCGAGGTAGGAACTCCACACTGAGGGAGAGGAGGGAAATGGGGAGGGGTAGGGAGAGGAGAGGAAGGGGAAGGGGGGGGAAGTGGGGGATGAAGGGGGAGATGAAGGGGGGAAGGAACAGAGAGCAGCATCAGCAGCATCGGATAGCAAACGGGTCTACCAAGTTGATGGCGTCACACAAATGTGAAAAGTTTTCTCACCTCCGAGTTCTTACAAGGATGCTCACAACGCATCGCCTACCAACTCACCAAAGCGGAGAGCGGTTGTCCAGCAGCAGTTTGGGGATGTCCTTTGTCCTCATCATCACAAGGTCTTTTGAGGTGCCCCAAATGCAAACTCACCAAAGCGGAGAGCGGTTGTCAAGGAGCATTTTGGGGATATCCTTTGTCCTCATTGTGACTAGGTCGGCAAAAATGCCGAATGATCTTACAAGAACGCTTACAATGCCTACCAACTCACCAAAGCGGAGAGCGGTTGTCCAGCAGCATTTTGGGGATGTCCTTTGTCCTCATGGTCACCAGGTCAGCAACAATCGCCTTGTTGTCGCAGCATACAAACAAGAACCGCCGCCCGCGCACGGCGGACGGGGCGGCGCCGATGGGCGGCACGAGCAGGCCGGCAGACGTGACGGTGGGGGATTCCGCCACTGCCGCCCGCGCGATTGCTCCTGTCCAGAAGCGAACGTCGTCGTCATAAAACTTCACGTCCTTCACTCTGTGTCGGAAAGTAGGGGATATACCAAGTGGACAGGGAAAAGGGGTATGCGAAATGAGGGGTTGTGCATGCGCCACTGCCGCTCAGGCAATGGCTCCTGTCCAGGAGCGAACATCGTCGTCATAAAACTTGATGTCCTTCACTCTGGGGAAGTGGGGGAGTAGGGGGGCAGGGGGGCAGGGGGGCAGGGGATAGGGTGGAGCATGGTAAGGTTAAGAGCAAGTGGGGGATTCGGCCACTGCTGCTGGCACCACTGCCGCCCGGGCAATGGTTTCCGTCCAGAAGCGAACATCATCGTCATACAACTTGACATCCTTCACTCTGGAGGGGTGGGCGCACGGATCGGTGTGTGCGTGGGTGCGGGTAGGGAATACAGGCAGACAGGAGCCAGGCGGTGTGAGAGATTCCGCCTTTGCTGCTCGCGCCACTGCCGCGAGCGCAACGGCTCCTGTCCCGAAGCGAACCGCAACATCGTCGTAAAAAAAAAAAAAAAAAAAAAAAAAAAAACTTGATGCATTTGACTATAGGGAATGGGGAGAGAGGGCTTAGGAGGTAGGGGACAGGAGGGACTACAGGGAAGAAGCGTATTAGCGTATTAGGAGGATGGAGGAGCAGAGAAGTATGAGATAAACAGCGCATAGTGATGCCTGGTTGAAGAGAAGGGTGACACTGCGGTGAACAATGGAACGGCGCACAGGAAGCAGCGGAATAGAGCAGAATAAGCTGGAGCAGAGGGATGCAGCTTAGGTACACTACACACACACCCACCCAGCCACAAAGCGAGTACCCCAAGCAGAGCCTAGGGTGGTCAGGGTTCGAATCTCCTCACAAGTGATCCAGATAAAGGAGGTTACGGATCGGCATGACAAAGGCTAAGAGCTCTGAGCTTAAGGGAAGAGAGATGCAGACTCACCCTCCTCCTCGAATGGCTTCAGCTCCCACTGCTGACGACCGTGTCTTGGCATCTGCAGGGAAGGAGCCAGCACAGCGCAGCAACAGGAAGAAGAAAGCAGCTTATGGCGCTCGCTCGCATGCTTGCCTGCAAATCTGGTTTGGGTTGCGTGCGTAGTGCTAGCTTCAATGAACACTTGCATGCTGACATGGCCACACGAGAAAAAAGCGAACAAGACAGCAAAGGCTCCGAAGTCGCTCCTAACCATCAGCCCACGCACGCTACTCCCCAACCCAACAGGCAAGGCAACAACACTCTGAAGGCACCCTATGAAGATATTAACTCACGCTCCTTCCCGTCAGCAACACTCACGCTCCTCCCCGTCGGCGATGCGCTGCAGCTGCGCATCCACCAGGCGGCGCTCGTCCACCCCTCCTGCATTCACCTCGTACAGCACCTGCCGAGGGTCACCAGTGGCAGCATCAGTGCCATCATCAGTGACATCAACAGTGACATCATCAGTGACATCAACAGTGACATCATCAGTAACATCAACAGTGACATCATCAGTAACATCAACAGTGACATCATCAGTAACATCAACAGTGACATCATCAGTAACATCAACAGTGACATCATCAGTAACATCAACAGTGACATCATCAGTAACATCAACAGTGACATCATCAGTAACATCAACAGTGACATCATCAGTAACATCAACAGTGACATCATCAGTAACATCAACAGTGACATCATCAGTAACATCAACAGTGACATCATCAGTAACATCAACAGTGACATCATCAGTAACATCAACAGTGACATCATCAGTAACATCAACAGTGACATCAGAGCCGTCATTGCCATTAGGATCAATGTGTCAGGATGTCCAAGCGTGTTTTGAGTCGATCCAAGAACAGTACACCCTTTCAATAGGAAACAGCACTGACATCAGTGCTTACTATTATTGGTGTGGGTGGTAGTGAGTGAGACACGTGGCGTGGATGGTAGTGAGACACGTGGAGGGCACTGAGACGCGTGGATGATAGAAAGGCAAAGGAAAAAACACACTTTCAATAGACCAATTTTGAAAGGGGTAAAGAATACACCTGGCGGTGTTCCCAGTTCCACACTAAGAGGTTATCATCTGCCGATGAGACAAGCCATGGCGTGGGGTGCACGTCCATGTGGTACACCCAACTTACCTTCATACTACGGGGTAAAGAACACACCTGGCGGTGTTCCCAGTCCCATACGACGACGTTATCGTGGCCGTCCGATGAGACGATCCACGGCAGCGTGGGGTGCACGTCCACGTGGTACACCTTCTCGGCGCTCGGCCGGAAGGCTTGTAGCGAAATCGCGGACATGACGATACCGCGGATATGCGAAACGAAGGATATGCGAAACGAAGGAGATGCGACGCGAACGTCTAAAGAGCCGTCAGGGGATACTAGAACACGTAAGCGGTCACGAGCGGGGACAGGAAGTGTGAGTAGCAGCGCAACTCGCGCGAAAGCACTCCGCGCTTCGAGGTGTTCTCGCTATCCCTGCCAAGTACCCCGAATATGCTGCTTGAACTGCGAGACACGCTACAAGACCCTTATCAAGTTAACTCACTCGAGAGCCTTACGCTGCGAAATATAATGAGGTGGGTAAGCTCGCCGCCTGCCGCTATCGTCGTAAACTTTCTAATTCGCCATACGGAAGCCTTTACAACATGCGGTTCGCGGGACCACCACTAACCTCATTCTCCAGATCCCAGCATGAATCAAGCACAATGCCTTGCATCAAAATGTAGAAGCACAAGTTGGCTAGCATCCAGATTCTAGGTTCGTGTCCAGCGAACATGAAAATATGACCTTTGTGCTCACCAAGTCTGGGTGACTTCTCTGGTTCGTGTCCAGCGAACATGAAGAATTCAACTTCGTTGCGCAACAAATACAGTTCTCGGCATTCTCGAGGCTATTTGACGATCGACCGACAGCTTTGCAGCCGGAATTCGTTTCGTTCCATGACCCGCACTTTGAACGTGTTCGGTTCTCGGGTCTTCCTGGCAACAACTTGTGCGAAAAGCACGATACGCTCGTTTCCTTTTCGTTAACGTTACTCTCATGACCTCGGGTCTGATCCCAAGCACACCAAGCGTCCTTGGACTCCGTCCTGTTTCTTGCGCCAATCACTTCTACTGTACCATACGGGAAATAATTCTGTGCTCCGTGCGTACCGCCTTGGAAGCGCCGTAATCGGCGGATTTATAGCTGGATGCGTAGATTCCAACGAGCCGCAATATCATACTCGGCCAAACCTGGTGTCGTCGTCGGGCCCCTTCGATTGTAGTCGTAGCACAACCGCTACTAATACGGCGAATGTTTTGAGACAGCTTAGGAACGCTATTAGGGCGGATGCCACGACCGAAACCTGTCAGCTAACGGTATGCGTCGCGTTCATGTATGCAGTTGTATTATAGGGCGAACGCCGCCAACGAGTAACGTATAAACTGAAAAGGGCTCCACAACCTATCTCCTCGCACGGTTGCATCCGAAGCCAGGGTCAGTTGATTCAGCAGCTACACGAATAATGACTAGCACAGTTTCGCAGTATCACAGCAAGGGCACAAACTGGCGTCTCGGATTCCTGACACTGACTGCTGACACAGACTAGCGAGTATCACATAGTCTCTAGAGGCGGGGTGTCGACTCCGTGTGTACATAGCAGGGACAGTGTTCTGAGTATGCTTCTTCGAAATTGATTGTTGGGGATGTATGTAGGCGGGGATGTAGGAATATCGAATTCACTATAAGAATTCTCAGAAGCAACCACATCTATTACTTCTAAATCCGAGGCGCCTTTGCCGACCATCTAGAGATTTCAAGCGGGGTCATCAACGAGCATCGCCACACGAAACAGGTAAAAACTCAGTAGGCGGGAACATCGATTTCAAGTGAACATATTTTGGAGTCACTTTTGAGAAGAGAATTATCAGAGACATGTTAGAAGGCAAGGCAGGCAACATGTCTATACTCGCAACCTCACTGGGCCTCCCCTCAGCCTTCACCACCCTCCTCATCCCACCCTCGCCGCGCCTCCCCTCTCACACTCACCTTCCGTTCACTCCCTCTCGCTGCACCCTGCCGTTCCTTCACCTTCGCTCCCTCCAATCCGCTTTCCTTCCATTCACTTTTTTCGCTTCCCTTCCCTTCGCAGATGGATCCTTTGTTACCTGGTAACCATAGGACTTCTAACTCCAGTGTACCTATGGCGTCACGAAATGGATCCCCAGGACGTATCATGGGTGTAGCGTCTCAAGGCTTATACGGGGCAGGCTCTCAGAGCTTATATGGAGGTTCTCCCACGAATGCGGGTTCCACATGGTTTGCCAGTTCCCCTGTATACAACGCTGCTGGTGGTGCTGGCAGTGGTTATGGTGGTGCTGCCGGTGGTTCTTCTGGTGGTGCTGGTGGGAATGCTGTTGGCGGTGTTGCTGCTAATGACGCTACTGCTGCTGCCGCTGCTACAGCTACCACCACTGCTTCTCCTGTTGCTGCTGCAGCTGCTGCTGCTCCGTGTGCGCTGGGCAGTCGGAAGAGAGGGAGGGTGTTTGCAGAGGACGAGCTGGTGCTGGATAACTTCTTCAGCAGCAAACGGTACATGAGCGCGGTGGGTGTACTAAATCGAGTATAAATAGCTCTATAACGAGTAGCTCTATAACGGGTACAGAGGGTGTTTGCAGAGGATGAGCTGGTGCTGGATAACTTCTCCAGCAGCAAACGGTACATGAGCGCAGCGGGTGTACTGTATTGTACCGTGCTTTGTACTGAGAATTCTCAGAAGTGATTCCTCACATGTACATCCCAGCTTAAGTTCATTCCCATCCCGTCCTCTCTTCCCATTTTCCTCCTTGTCTCGCCTTCCCCAGCTGATTGCCAAGAGCCTCACCAACCTGCGAGTGGAGGACACCCACATGGCTGGAGCAGCAGCAGGCGGGGGAACAGCAGCAGGCGGAGGAGGAGCAGCAGGCAGCCCAGCAGGAGCAGGCAGGGCAGCAGCAGCGGCAGCTGCACTGGCAGCAGCGGCAGTGGCAGCAGGGCGAGGAGGATCCGTGGCATCTCCGCCTCCTGCTGCTGCAGCATGGGCGGGAGCAGGAACAGGAGGGATAACAGCAGCAGGAGCAGCAGCAGCAGCACGGCCACCATCTCCAGCAGCGCTACAATTAGGGGCGCCTACCATTCGAATGAGTGCAGGTGCAGGAGCAGGGTATCCCGGGCCCAGCGCCTCCCCTGCTTCTGCTGTTTCAGGTGGTTTCTCAGGTGGTTCACCAGGTGGACCCGGCGCGTTTGTAGGGCTGCAAGTGCCTCCGGAGGCTCTGTTGCCGTCTCCTGGAGCGACCGAGACCACGCAAACTGGCAGCGCTCGATCTGCCTCTCCCTTTGCCAGCCATAAGTACGCATCCTCTTAGTCCTGTCGCGATTCACTCCTATTCATAATCATATGTGGGTGCGTCCATAATGCCATTCTTTGTGGTTATAGATCTCACAAGTTTTTTCCCCTTTGTTTCTGTTATATCTCTGCTTTTGTGCTTATAGCGAGGGCATGTCTTCCCCAGCAGAGTCCCTCTCAGAGGACAGCGAGGAGAGCGTTGGGTGGAGGGCTGCTGCAGCAGCAGCAGCCACAGCCGCTTGTGTCACGTCCCCCCTCTTTGTCACATCAGCGTCAGCATCAAGATCAGGAACAGCAACAGGTGTAGCAGCGGCACCAGAAGCAGCAGCTACAGCAGCAGAATCAAAAGCAGCAACACAAGGAGCAGCAGCAGCAACAGCAGCAGCAGGCGGCCTCAATGCACCCAGCTCAGAACTCACCTTCTCAAATCGTCCTCCCCCAGCCAGCACCTCCCCCTCCCGTTCCCCTACACTCACCTTCATCCCCCCCTCAGCCCCATTTGTACACGGCAGTGGGGGAGAGAGGAACACCTCTCCTGCCTCTGACCGCCGTTATCGCTCTCCTAGCCCCCGTTCCTCTAGTCCTCGCTCCTCCCCTCGTGCTCCTTTCACTTATGCCATCAATAACAGTATTACCAGCAACCATACCACCGGCAGTGGTCTTAATGGTGGTAATAGTCCCGCCTGTTTGCGGGCAGGACAAAGTTTTCCCGCGCCGCTGCCCGGGCGGGACCCGCCCGCAGCTGCTGGGATCTCCAACCTGGTTCGGGTCCCGCCGGGTTTTCTGGGCAGGGGTCCGGGCAGTATCATAACCCGGGCAGCGCAGGGAAGGTTTTTGCATGACCAGCTGGACGGGCGGCTTCCCACGTCTCCTAATGACCCGAGTACTGCCAAGAATCTGAGGCGGGCGGCGCTGCTGCGATCTCAGATGATTCGCACTCAGAGCTCGTCTGGACTCAGTGACCCGGCTGCTGCTGCTGTTGCTGCTGTTGCTGCTGCTGGTGGTGGTGGTGGTGGTGCTGCTGGCTCAAATGCTGCTGGTGCTGGTGCTTGTACTGCTGCTGGTGCCGCTGCTGCCCTCCCTCCCCCTCCTGCTGCTGCAGCTGCTGCGGCTGATGCTGGTTCTATGCATGCTGCTGGCAGTAGAATGGTGGAGAACGGTGCAAGATGGCAAGCAGGGGTGACTGCCATGGGTAGTCTGGAGGTTACAAGAGGAGCAATGGGGGAGAGGGGTGCGAGGGAGGAGAGGGAGGAGAGGATGGAGGGAAGTGACGGGGGTGGTCAGTTGGGGTACGGTCAAATGGAGTTTCGACATCACACATGGGTGGACAGTGGTGCTGCTATGCCTGGTGGTTCCTTCCCCCTGCAGCAGCAGCAGCAGCAGCAGCTGGCATCAGTGGCAGGGGCAACAGCAGCAACAACACCACCACCAGCAGCAGCAGACGCATGAAGGAACCACAGGCAACGAGTGCAGAAGAAGCATGGAGGCGTTTGTAATGAGCCGAATCTCGCCACCCAGCTCACCCACTTCGTCCGAGAGTGAGGAGCACGGGGGGTCGTCGTGGGGTGTGGAGTGCAGTGGGGGTGGAGGGGAGGGGGAGGCCGTGCTTGCTAGGTCTTGCTCTTCCACCCGGTCAAGCAATCCGTTCGGGGGTCCCATAGATGAAATGAGCTGATGTGCTGCTGCTGCTGAAGCTGTTTCCATGCCTGTTGCTGGTAGTGCAATGGGGGAGGCCGTGCTTGCTAGGTCAAGCAATCCATTTGGAGGTCTCATAGATGAAATGGGCTGACTCAGAAGCCAACTCGAACAAATGTTTCCAAAACATCTGCAGGGGTCAAAAGTTAACCCATGGAGGAAATGTCTACTGATTCTAGTCCGAGCACTTTTGCAGACGTTTTCAGGGTATGGTAGTACCGTACAATCCCTGTCTTGTTGTCTCTTTGAAACAAGAAGGTACTGCAGAAGAATGGTAAGGATTACTAACGGTAAGAGTACCGGTACCGTAACTAACTGCAGGAAATGAAAAGATACGGAAATAGCAGTAATAGTAGGTAAAAGTCAAGTTCACATCGACAAACAACCCAGCCCACCAAATTCTGACACGGCAACAAACAAAACACGCACCCAAAAAAGTCCACGCACCCAAAAAAGTCAAGTCCTTTCTAGCCTCCTTCCAGCCTCGTTCCAACCTAGTTCCAGAAAACAAACACCATCCCTACCCTCCCCCCCTGCTCATCAACCAACACGGAAAAGAAGCTCTAATTTAATGAACACCCTCAACACCACCTACGGAAACGAACATCCCGCCATCCAGGAAAAAGCCCTTCCTTCCAGCGTCCTTCCAGAGCCCGCCCTTCGCCCCTCCAGCGTCCCTCAAGCGTCCTTCCAAAGTCCTTCCAGCCCCATTTTGAACCGACTTCGCTCGTGACTTAAATATCTCCCTTTGAACACATGTCCTCCCCTGTCACACAAAGATGTGCATCTTGCGTGGGGCAGACCCCACCAGCGGGGCCTTAT